ACCACACGCATCCTGGGCACCTAGGAAGGGCAGCAGCAGCCTCTCCTGGCTTAGGGCTCAGCCCCCCAGAGGACATGCCTGCAGAGGCTCACAGGCTTCCCTGGAGCCAGGGGGCTGGGTCCCCACCCTGTGAGCCGCCAAGGGGGCGCTTCGGGGCAGGCTGGACGGAGGAGGATTCCGCGAGGCCCTGCACATGCCCGAGTCCCCGCTCCAGTTCGCAGCCACTCAGCACCGTGGGCGTCGCTCTCCCGGCTCCACAGGCTCCTGGGGCTGCCGAGCCGGCCGGGGGCTGCCTGATCGGCGTCCTGGCGGGAATAGGAAGGAGCTCTCAGAGCAGTTCAGGGGCCTGGGCTGCCCAGTGTCTGGTTCTAGCTTGGTCCATCTCAGCCGTGGCTGCTCCGCTCCGCTCAGGGCTGTGGGCCGGGCCCCGGGGGTGGCTCCCGCGTGGCTCGGGGCGGGAGATGTCTGGCTCCTTGCCCGTGTGGCTGCGCGGAGGGGCAGCATGGGGAGGGGCCCTCTGCTGGCTCCAGCAGAAACAGGCGGCGCCAGTCCCAGACCCAAGGGATCGCTGTGGGTCGGCTGGCGCCTCCTTGGGCCTCCCAGGCAGCTGCACTCAGTACTGCAGCCGAGGAGGCCTTGGCACCCTCTGTGCAGGCTGTGGTGCCGGGGGAGGGTTCCCAGCCCATGGGGGGGCAGGGCGTGGGGAAGGCCCGGCTAAGGCAGAGCCCTGGCCCCTCCCGCAGGTCAATTACTACGAGCGGGAAATGGAGCTGCTGAAAAGGAGCTTTGAGAGGGAGAGGAAGGACATTGAGCAAGGCTTTAAGCTGGAGATCAGCGAGCTGGAAGAGCAGAAGGCCGACCTGGAGCAGCTCAACATGAAATCCCAGGAGGTGATCGATGGCTTGAGAGAGCAGCTGCAGAAATGCGCTCCCAGCCCGGAGCTGGAGCAGAGGCTGGAGACGGAGCGGTCGGAGATGGAGCAGTATTATGCCAAAGAGATTTGCAGCCTGGGCCAGCGGCTGGCTCAGGAAAGGGACCAGCTGGAAGAGGAGCTGAGGGTGCAGCACAGGAAGGAGCTGCAGTCGATGAGGTCTGACCCCCTTGCTTTCCGGAGCGCGGGCGCGGAGTCCTGCCCATCGGGAATGGACCCTCCCTGGCGAGAGCGCCAGGCCCACGCAGTCTCGGCTGCGTTTCGTGCTCGGGCGGCTCCCAGGTGCTGGCGAAGTCTCGTGCTCCCTGGGGAGGGCAGCGTGCCCAGCAGAGGGGGAGGATGGGGTGGGGCTGCGGGGCGCTCCTCAGATCGCTGGTGGGGGGCGGTGCAGTTCATGGGGCGCTCTCCCAGCACGTGGCCAGGTGAGGCAGGCAGGTGTGAAAGGGGCCAGCCGGGGGCACTGCAGGAGGCGGGCGTGCTCCCAGCCGGGCTCCCGGTGTGTCCCCTGCTGCCCCCCTTGCTGGAGCCCAGCAACGCAGGCGCCGTCCCTGGCGGAAGGGAGGGGCAGGGGGGGGGGGG